CGGCCTCCCATTGCTGCTGTCTCCATCGCCACACTCTGCCATGTGCCACTTTCAGGTCTCCTCACACACTGCTGGTGTGTTGAAATTTTTTGACATAGGGTGCTGGCAGATTACGGGCCTCCTATAGCTGCTGCCAGGCCCCTAATCTGCCATGGGCCCCTATATACCGCCTCCTCATGCTGCTGCCAAGTCCAGAGTCTGTCATGGGTCCCTGTACGGCCTCCCATTGCTGCTGTCTCCATCGCCACACTCTGCCATGTGCCACTTTCAGGTCTCCTCACACTGCTGGTGTGTTGAATTTTTTGACATAGGGTGCTGGCAGATTACGGGCCTCCTATAGCTGCTGCCAGGCCCCTAATCTGCCATAGGCCCCTATATACCGCCTCCTCATGCTGCTGCCAAGTCCAGAGTCTGTCATGGGTCCCTGTACGGCCTCCCATTGCTGCTGTCTCCATCGCCACACTCTGCCATGTGCCACTTTCAGGTCTCCTCACACTGCTGGTGTGTTGAATTTTTTTGACATAGGGTGCTGGCAGATTACGGGCCTCCTATAGCTGCTGCCAGGCCCCTAATCTGCCATAGGCCCCTATATACCGCCTCCTCATGCTGCTGCCAAGTCCAGAGTCTGTCATGGGTCCCTGTACGGCCTCCCATTGCTGCTGTCTCCATCGCCACACTCTGCCATGCCACTTTCACTTTCAGGTCTCCTCACACACTGCTGGTGTGTTGAATTTTTTGACATAGGGTGCTGGCAGATTACGGGCCTCCCATAGCTGCTGCCAGGCCCCTAATCTGCCATGGGCCCCTATATACCGCCTCCTCATGCTGCTGCCAAGTCCAGAGTCTGTCATGGGTCCCTGTACGGCCTCCCATTGCTGCTGTCTCCATCGCCACACTCTGCCATGTGCCCACTTTCAGGTCTCCTCACACTGCTGGTGTGTTGAATTTTTTGACATAGGGTGCTGGCAGATTACGGGCCTCCCATAGCTGCTGCCAGGCCCCTAATCTGCCATGGGCCCCTATACCGACTCCTCATGCTGTGACGTTGCAACAAGGTGGAATTCAACCCTACATATGTTAGACCCGCCTTTACGAACAGCAAAAGGCCATCACAGATTTCCTGATGTTAAAAGCGGATAAAGGTACTCCCTGTGTAACTTAGATGTCAGCCATTGGCAGCTCATGCGTGACACCTGCGCTTGCTCAGGCCCTTTGAGGAGGCCACGCTATTCGTGAGTCGGCAGGACTATGGGATGAACGACGTCATTCCTCTGTTGCACGTCCTGGAACAAATGCTGTTAACAATGGCTGGTCAGGGTGCGGTAGACGTGGCGCACAGATCTCAACGCCACATGACCCCTGTGGGGGCAGGACAGGAAGAAGAGGAGGAGGTAGAGGAGGACATTTGTGCTCAGGAATTATTGAGTGAAATGGGTGGTTTTTCCACTCACTCAGCGGACAGGAGTGGAGGAGCAGGAGCATCTGGTAGAGGAGGAGGAAGAGGAGACAGAGGACCCAGACGCACCGTGGCAGTATGCTGTGGAGATGGAGGCAGGGAGTCCCTCGCATTCCTTGGCACAAATGGCCCATAGCATGCTCGCTTGCTTGCGTAGCGACAGCCGAATAATAACCATCAGACAGAGGGATGACTTTTGGCTGTCCACCATGTTGGACCCTCGCTACCGTTCAAAAATGGTGGCCTTTTTCACACCTGCTGAGAGGGAGGCCAAAATAACGTACTATAAAAACCACCTATGTAGTCAGCTGGTCTCTGCCTGTCTGCGCCAACGTCCATCCTCAGACACTGTGGGCCCTGTGCGCTCGCGTTCCGCTGCCATGGCAGCAGGGGAGGGGTGGGGTGGTAGGAGCAGTGGCAGCTCCACCAGCAGCGGCTGCCTCAGTCTGCAGTCGATGATGAGTAGCTTTCTTCACCAGCGCAGTGAGGAAACTACTAACCAGCCCAGCAGCAGCAGCAGCAGCAGCAGCATCAGGTGGACCTGGAGCAGGACCTCAAACAACAGGCTTAGGCCTACTTGGACAGCACCCTGCCAACCGAGGTAGACAATCCCCTTGACTACTGGCAACGAAACTTGACCTTTGGCCCCAACTAGCTGAATTTGCCCTTGAAAGGCTGTCATGCCCGGCCAGTAGCGTGGCATCGGAACGCGTGTTTAGTGCGGCAGGAGGTATTGCAACTCCGCGGAGGACACGACTGTCCATCCAAAGTGTGGAGAGACTCACGTTTGTGAAAATGAATCAGGCGTGGATTAGTCTGGATTTCAAACCACCAGTTCCTGACACAACTGACTAAATCCGCCATGAATCATGCCCCAAACATGTGCCACTTTCAGGTCTCCTCACACTGCTGGTGTGTTCCATTTTTTGTCATAGGGTGCTGGCAGATTACGGGCCTCCCATAGCTGCTGCCAGGCCCCTAATCTGCCATGGGCCCCTATACCGCCTCCTCATGCTGCTGCCCAGGTCCAGAGTCTCTCATGGGTCCCTGTACGGCCTCCCATTGCTGCTGTCTCCATCGCCACACTCTGCCATGTGCCACTTTCAGGTCTCCTCACACTGCTGGTGGGTTCCATTTTTTGTCATAGGGTGCTGGCAGATTACGGGCCTCCCATAGCTGCTGCCAGGCCCCTAATCTGCCATGGGCCCCCGTACCGACTCCTCATGCTGCTGCCAGGCCCGTAATCTGTCATGGGCCCCTGTTGTCGCTTGTTGGCATATTCCGCTCGTTCAGATGCTCCTTCTCCTGCTACTCCTCTTCACGGATTCCGTCAGCAGTCTTTCTTGGAATCCGTTTCCAAGAGACAACAGTTTGCGAGCACGCACCCGACGGTGCAGAAGCTGAACGTCCTCCTGTCCAAGTTGCTGCTGCCAGGCTCATAATCTGTCATGCGCCCCTGTACCGCCTCCTCATGCTGCTGCCAGGTCCAGAGTGTGTCATGGGCCCCGTACCGACTCCTCATGCTGCTGCCAGGCCCGTAATCTGTCATGGGCCCCTGTACCGCCTCCCCATGCTGCTGCCAGGTCCAGAGTGTGTCATGGGTCCCTGTACGGCCTCCCATTGCTGCTGTCAGGCCCGTAATCTGCCATGGGCCCCCGTACCGACTCCTCATGCTGCTGCCAGGCCCGTAATCTGTCATGGGCCCCTGTACCGCCTCCTCATGCTGCTGCCAGGTCCAGAGTGTGTCATGGGTCCCTGTACGGCCTCCCATTGCTGCTGTCTCTATCGCCACACTCTGCCATGTGCCACTTTCAGGTCTCCTCACACTGCTGGTGGTTTCCATTTTTGTCATAGGGTGCTGTATGGCCTCCCATTGCTGCTGCCTCCACCGCCACACTGTGGCTCCACACTCTGGTTTTGGCCCCGTGACTGCCCAAATGAGTGAAGTGTGCGGTGATTCTAAGATCGACGGCACTCATCTGCATGACATACTGACTGACAGTATTATTTCTCTTCCTCAGCAGACTCCAAGGGCATTTAAATTAAAGGTACAGTGTTCTGCACTAATATTAAGTCTCTCTGAAGCCTAGAAACACCCTTTTTTAAGTTAAATTCACAGCGAATATATTCGACTCGAATCAAAATTTTTCCACGAATTCGCCGAATCAGTCGAATCGAATTTTTGAATACTTCGCTCATCTCTAGTGAGAACCTTACATAGCAACTGTCCAGGATTGGAGCTTAAAAGTCTCTGGATTGACTAGATGGTCAGATCCTCGGAAACGTCTGTCATTTTGGGAGTCTCTACACATGTTAATTGTTCTTCTTTACTCGTCTTTACTTTGCAATCCTTCTCTTCTAAAGAAAAAAAAAGTACTTAAAAAAACTTCTCTGTGAGCAAAGGTTGGTGATTTCCATACTAAAGATGAGTCACCTTACTCGTCCCATAAAGTCCTAAACAAATGAGCAAGGAACCCTTGCAATGAGGAGGAAAGGGTAACTTCATCTCCAGCCCTATCTACAGGTTTAGGGTCTAATCACACAAGTAGCTGCATGACAGCACAGTGGCTGGTTTGCGGTTGGATGCAGTAGGACAATTGCAGTGCAGATGCACCAATTGTGGCACATTGCAGTGTTCTTTTTTTTTTATTTAAATGAACTATATTGAAATGTCAAGGTGGAGCTGTGGATTGCACTGCATTAGAAAAAAGTACAGCAGACTTTCAGTGTGCACCACCACAGACCACTACAACACGGTGAGGTGAACTGGGCACATAGGTGACAAAGCATTTTGCTTGACTTACAATGGGACTGCGCTGGAATAGCCGCCCAGCACAATCCCACCACACTTGATGTAAATGGGTCCTTAAGGGAATGTTACACCAGTGATCCAGTTTCTGGCAGGAGAAGCATTTCTAAAAATGGAATTGGGCGATTTGTAAAATGTATATAATCTCATCAGTGTGGAGTCAATTGTTTCTATGAATGCTTGGCAATTGCATATGTGCATGGGGCAGTCATAATTGCTCATTTCAAATTTAGGCTCTGCTTTCTGCTTTGCATTGCTGTACAGTGATCTTCCTTTACAGTTCTCTCTGACAATTTATGGCTGTGGGTATATTGCTGCATTAAAATGAATTTCACTTTTTATTTTATTTCAACAATTGCTAATCAGGAAGTGGAGATTGCCGTGAAATACAGACCTCCCTCTGTAGTAACCGAGCTATAATGTTATGTGTGTATTATGTTAAAAAATATAGAACAGCAAGAGTGTGAAAATAAAAGCCATGAAAGCCACAGCAAAAATTTGCTGCAGAAAGAATTAAAAATATGTACTCGCTGAAAAACATTATACATTTGTTCTCTTTAAATATGGAGGCTTCCAGAATTGGCTTTACTTACCATATAATACTTCAATTTCTTTATAGTTGTGGAGTGGATCCCCACAGAATCACGAGCTTTCGCTAATACAGCCATTGGATACTGTTACACAGTGGGCCAGCTGGTCCTGGTGGGATTGGCTTATCTAATTCAGGACTGGCGCATGTTACAGTTGGCTACATCCATTCCTTTCTTCATCTACTTTTTATATTCATGGTAATTTTTTTATTACTTCTTTTTAAGCATTCTTACTTTATGACTTGGAAATTAATTTCTGTTATGATATCATATCTGTATTACATATTTACTTTAGAAGCCACTAGAAATATTGAAGACCAAGTTTTTTCTGACACTTTTTGTTTTTGCTAGAAAATTTGAACCCCCAAAAATTATTGATTTTTTTACAGTAGAGATCCTAGAAAATAAAACGGTGGGTGTTGAAATTTTTTATGCCACAAAGTATTTGCGCAACGATTTTTCAAACGCAAATTTTTGGGAAAAAAATACACTTTTTTGAATTTTATGTTGTGTGATAAAGTATAAAAGATGATTCTAGGCAGAGTAATTAGATACCAAACATGACATGCTTTTAAATAGCGTATGCCCATGCATCGGTGACAAACTACGTACATTTTTCAATATGTACATCAATAAGCTATGCTTTTAAAGACTTTACAGGTTAACACTTTAGATTTACATAGGAGGTCAAGTGCTAGAATTAGTGCCCTCGATCTGACATTTTTGGTGATACCTCACTTGCATGGTGCAATCTCTGTGTACATACTGACACGGGACCGCAGTGACAGGTACTCTTTTCTGAGAAATCTGGGGTCTATTAGACTCTAGATCTCTCCTCTGCCCTTAAAGCATCTGCTCACACCAAGTTTGGTGTGATCAGATGCTTTCCCAATTTCAAAATGTTACTTATATCCGGCGAAATAGAAATAATGAAATGCTCGTAGCTTACAGTTCCTTAGACCATAGATATGATTGGGGCCATTCTGGTCGCTGATCAGCTCTATGGTCAGCTGGCAGAAATGCCGTCTGAACTCTCAGGTTTCCCGGTGGGATGGGAGTGCCCAAGAAAACTGTGGAAGGTGGCGGGTGGGAAGACGTCCTGTCCCACTGCTTGCAAAAGCAATCCAGAGATTAGTTAGCCTCTATGATTGCTTTTACATGAAAGCTGACCGCCAGCTGAAAAAAACGATACCAGGATGATGCCTGTAGCTGCAGGCATCATCCTGGTATAACCACTCAAAGTCCAGCAACGTACCAGCATGTTGCTGGTCCTTGTTGGGCATATATGTAATAGCAGAGAACATGGGCATATGAAGAATCGGGTCTGTGGACCAATATGACCGCAATTCATTCTTTTTTGTAATGCCCGTATTGAGGGTTAGGCCCAAAAAAGTTTTAAATTTGGGAATTGTCTGACAAGAGCTGAATTTGGGTGGGCAGTGATGTATTGTTGTGTGCATAAATTGCTTTGGCCCACAATCAATTGGTACAAATCTTCTGTGAAAAACAGCGGAGGGGCTAAACGCTAATGCTGGCAACAAACAGGGCTGATTCTGTTAACACTGCATTTTTGGGGACACTATAGTAAGGAGGCAGTAGTATCGTTCTGCTTGTGATCAATATATTGATCCATACAAACACTATACTAGTAATGGGGGGTGATAAGTGATGAGTGTAATAGTATCAGGTCAATCTAATTCTAGCTGACTCTGGCTGGGAGGGTCGCAAACTGACCCTGAAGTTATCTGATACCACTAGTGGCAGTAATGCAGTGATCAGTAAAAAATTCTATATGCTGACACTTTACTAATGGCACTGGCTGGGTGACAGGGTGATCGAATGGTTAATAGGGGCAATCAAAGTGTTAAATGTGCTAATCTAAAAATGTGTAAAATTTAATGCTTTTACTCACAGTATGGTGTTCTCTCTTGTCTTCCTGGACTGGCAGGGGGGCAGTATGGGACACACTCATGCGTGCTTACACTTGGAAATAGAAGGTGATGTAAGGGTACGTCACTCTGCCCAAAGCAGCCACTTGACGGTCGTGAAGTAAAAAAAAAAAAACCTTAAAAAAATTTTTTTTTTAACATTATGTTTTATTAAAAATAATACTTTCATCAGAGTAGTGCAATGTTACAATAGTAACATTGCACTAATGTGGGTGGGGGGTTATCGGGGATTTTAATTTTTTTTTACACTTTGCTTTGCAGGAACAATAAAAATTATCACTCCTCCAATGCAATGCTTACTTTGAACTGGATTAAATTCATGACAGTTCAAAATACTAGTGATCTGTGATTGTCTACAGCTGATTGTATGGTACAAGGTGCTGTGATTGGCTCATGTACCATGTGAGAGTTGTGGCCCAATCACAAAGAAGGGAAGCAGAGCTTTTATGAATCAAATTGATTCGTAACAGCTTTGCTAGCATTGTGATCATGTGATCTTATAGCGATCACATGATCACCAGGTCCCGTATACCGGTGGACACATTGGTCACTGGTGGGGGCATGGGGCACCCCTCGTGTTAGTTCAGCTACAGCGACATACCCGTATGTTGCTCTGCCTGTAGCTGCCGCCCATCCACAGTAGAAGTACAGGATCAAAAATCATTTTTATACAATGAGGAGGATTAACCCCACAGTGAGTATAACAAGCATGCTTTACTGCATATACAGACTGATTTTACTGTTGTGGGTTTAGTAACACATTAACAGAATTTTCTCTTTGCAAAGTAGATTTTCACCTATCTTAGTAAATGAGGTGAAGTTGTGCCGACTTCAATTATCCAACCATGTGCAAGCAGAAATCCTGTTTTTGAATTTTCCTTGCATATGATTATGTATTCTTTGCAAAGGTCAATTCTACTTTGTTTTATCTCAATCACGAAAAAACATTAACATTTACTTTGTAAAGTGAACATGCTCTTCTCCTATAGCAAAAGAGGGTTGATGTTGGAACATGTTCAGAAAATGCTATTACATAGATAGGGTTCAGTTGCTCCAGCAGTAATAGCTGTCAGTGACAGCTCACCTCACCTCACTGCTGAAAGGGTAGAGCATGCTCATTTCTTGTCCCAGCATAGTGCCCAACATTGTGCCAGGACAATATATCATTATAAAGGAAAACGTGTACACATTGTTTATGAAGGGAAGGTCTTGATTGCAGTAATAAGTATCTTACTGCGTATGGCCAGGAATTTGTTAGACATCAGCTGTGGGCAGATAAGAAATGGAGTACTTATCAAAGATGGTGCAGGCTACAATAAAAGAGGGCATGGGGCAGCTTTCCTGTGGTTTTATTGAACTTTTCAAATAGGTATTCAATATATATATATATACAGTGAAGGAAATAAGTATTTGATCCCATTCTGATTTTGAATGTTTGCCCACTCACAAAGAAATGATCAGTCTAAATATCGAATGGTAGGTGTGTTGTAACACAGAGACAGAATAGCAACACAAATTACCTAAAAAAATTCCCTCTATGCATACCATGAATACCAACTGAACTTAAAAGTAATCGATACCATAAGGTGATGAAAAACATATAAACTAAGTCTATTAGTGAAAAACTAGAATACATAAACACCTCTCATATATACCAATTACTAATGCCTCATAATTAATCTGTGATGGAAAATAATGAATATAAAATTCATGATAAATACTCAAATATCAGTGATAAAATCAATTTTCATAATAATACTAATTCATAATAAAAAATGTGACAAATCGTGATAAATTGTGACAAACCTATAGATCAAAATAAATAGTGATTCTTCAACAAAATATGTAATACATATATCCTGTGATAAACCCTATAACAGAATAAAATTAAAATTAAATAGATAGCTACTTAATTCAGTGATAAAATAAATGAACTCAGTGTCCAGAATAAACTCAAAAAGCCCATGCAAAATGTGAAAACACTCTGTGATCTTCACTTCTAGTGCTCAAAAAGGAATCCTCCAATGGCAGCAATGCCTGCCTACCTCCCCTCCTCGACCCACAAAGGGCCACAAGGCAAAAAACCTCCTCAAAGGCAATCCTTTACTCCAGGCAGCTCAGCAAGGGACCTTAGGACTTCCACTCCACCTCCTCTCAAACGTCATATAGGACACAAACAAAAGCTTCCCATAGTGTAATACCGTTTATTAGGAGTAATTTGGCATAACATACTTTTCCCACTCACATGTAATCCTTGTATACAGCGCTTTCCACCTCACATCATGGGTGTATTCTCATACAGGGAGGGAAACAAATATGGTCGAGATTACGTCACTTCCGGTCACGTGGGGGGGACGTTTGTCCGGACGCAGCGGCCATATTTGTTTCCCTCCCTGTATGAGAATACACCCACAGAAAAGGTCACTTTGGATGAGCTACCATACTTATGATCTTTGTCAGAAGACCTAACTGCATAAGGAGCCTGTACCTTTTAAATGAAGCATTTGATTCAACATTTCCAATTAAATCTTAAGCAATATCTTTTGTTTTTTGTTTTTTTTTTACCCCAGGCACCTCTTTGAATAACTATTGTAATGTTTATTAGTATTCATAGTACACATGTTTACTGATGTTCGTTGGTAGCACTTGATAGCATTTCATAACATGTTACAAGGTACACTACCTTGTGGCTCTTGGTCTGTAAAATAACCTATACTGAGTGACGCTGAGAAGCACTTAGAAGTGAGTTTTATTAACAAGCTGTAATAAAATACCCCTGTCGTCTGAGACCTGATGTTACAACTTAATGAGGATAACCATGATAATATCACTATCTGGCACTCAGGTGGATCCTGAATCCTGCCGTTGGCTTGTTCTTCATGGGAAATATGAACAGGCCATTAAAGACCTAAAGAAAGTGGCAAGAATTAATAGAAAAACAGAGGAGGGGGAAAAACTTACCATGCAGGTATGTACTGAGAGTAGCAATTTAAATGTGATAAGGCGTTCTCCCATTACAGTTAGTGTATAAAAAAATACAGTAAGAAATAAACAATACATTAAAGGGAATAAACAACAACTTGTTTAGTAGAGATGGTCATCTACGTCTGCTTTTGTTTGATGAGAACCACTGCCTACATGAATGTCTTCCGGGGATATATATTACTAAAGATAAAAACAGGGGCGGACTGACAACTCATGGGGCCCCGGGGCAATAGGGGATCATGGGGCCCCTGTATCCTTTCCCAAACTCAAAAAAGCCTATGAAAAAGGTACCAGGGAATCTCATGGGGCCCCCTACTGACCCCGGGCCCTTGGGCAGTGCCCGAGTTTCCAAATGGTCAGTACGCCCCTGGATAAAAATAACCAACCAGTGCGGTGCTACCTAAAAATGAATAGAATTAATAAAATACACACAACAATGTGTGTAAAACTCCTACTAATAGTGAAACATAAGAGCATGATGTATGTAACATTCAGATGAATTAACAAAATATAAAAGTTAGAATAAATATGACAATTGTGAGATGGTGAAGTTCATAATTAGAATATCGTGCAAAAGTTAATTTATTTCGGTAATGCAACTTAAAAGGTGAAACTAATATATGAGATAGACTCATTACATACAAAGCAAGATAGATCAAGCCGTGATTTGCCATAATAGTGATGAGTATGGCTTACAGCTCATGAAAACCCCAAATCCACAATCTCAGAAAATTAGAATATTGTGAAAAGGTGCAATATTCTAGGCTCAAAGTGTCCCACTCTAATCAGCTAAATAAGCCATAACGTAAATAAATAAATAAATAAATATAATGGCGCCTATGGAAAGAGAGAGAAAAAATATATATATGTATGGGTCACCAGCTGCAAAATCCACCATAAATAAATAAAGTGTAACAAATAACACAAAAAATATAATTTGCGCTAGTAAATAAATATTAAAATATACCTGTGAACAAAAAAATATAAAATATTATCCATGTAAATAATACTTATAAATACATATAAAGAATTTTTTTTATATATAAAAAAAGTGTCCAAAAAACAGTCCAAATTTGAGATGTGTAATACAGATCCAAAAACGTGCACAAAAAATATAAATGTGACAATCCACCACCAAAAGTACTAAATAAACTCACCAGAGCTATAAAAAAACTGAAGCATATATTGCTCTGGGAGCGGTGGTATTAGTAGAGTAATAGACCATTCATGGATGTGTCTTCAGGGAGTAATATTCTGCAGAACCCAGATCCAAGCAGACCAATTTCAATGGAGCGAATGCTCTAGAATCAAATACCACTAAGGAAATCCACTTCTCCAAAAAGATCACCCTAATCGTATCCAAGAGGGAATGCCAGACACTCGGAAGAAATAAAAGAACTTCATGGTGCAGTATTATTAAAAAACAGCTTCCTTTATTATGCACTCATTGCACTTATCTCAAAAGGTGTCCCAGCCGACACGAGCGTTAACAGCATACAGGAATCACAGTGAAAAACGAACCCAGCTACTCGGCACACAGTAGCTCGCTGGGAAACGTAATGACGTCACATCAATCCAGCCCCGACCTACGCATTTCGTCATCGACGTCCTCATTTTCCAGCAGGACTTGGCACCTGCCAAAAGCACCAAAACCTGGTTCAATGACCGTGGGATTACTGTGCTTGATTGGCCAGCAAACTCGCCTGACCTGAACCCCATAGAGAATCTATGGGGCATTGCCAAGAGAAAGATGAGAGACATGAGACCGAACAATGCAGAAGAGCTGAAGGCCGCTATTGAAGCATCCTGGTCTTCCATAACACCTCAGCAGTGCCACAGGCTGATAGCTTCCATGCCACGCCGCCTTGAGGCAGTAATTGCTTCAAAAGGGGCCCAATCCAAGTACTGAGCACATATGCATGCTTATACTTTTAAGAGGTCCAAAATTGTTCTATGTACAATCCTTGTTTTATTGATTGCATGTAATATTCTAATTTTCTGAGATTGTGGATTTGGGGTTTTCATGAGCTGTAAGTCATATTCATCACAATTATGACAAATCACGGCTTGAACTATTTTGCTTTGCATGTAATGAGTCTATCTCATATATTAGTTTCACCTTTTAAGTTGCATTACTGAAATAAATGAACTTTTGCACGATATCTAATTTTTCGAGTTTCACCTGTACACTCAACAGATTCCCCAGTGACCTAGTCCTGCAACTACACTTTGTGCAGTTCAAACTATCTCCACCATGTGAAAACCAGTTTTGCTCACCTTCACAATATTACCTCTTTGCTGATAGGAGGTCTATAAAGCTTGATCCCCATAAAGAGTTATTATTATTATACAGGATTTATATAGCGCCAACAATTTGCTCAGTTAAATATTCTGGTTAGATTCCTTAGCTGTAAAACCTCTTTCCTGCTAGGGGGTCTGCACAGCTTGTTAAGGGTTATGCACTCCAGTTGAACAGGCCATACAAGCCATGTATCTACGTGAGTACAACCAGCCTGTCAGGTTTTTTTACATACAAATACTTCGAGCCGCTATAACCACTAGCAGTAATCAGTAATCATTGTGTTCGGCTGGGAAGGCTCTCCGTCCCACCCCCCACCCCCACCGACAGAAAACAATAGCGCTGCCTTTGACAATGACCTTGTTGATGAGGAAATTGAGCATTTCTCTTTCCTTCTACCCTTGGTGGATGGAAAGAAAATCGAATCATCTATGGGTTGCATAAGACTTCCATCATATTATGAACCAAACATGAAAGAAAGAGAATGGCATAGCGTTCACTGTATTATTTTTTAAAATATCCAAAAGTGAGTTAAAAACACTTACAAACAATCAAAAGCAAAAGCGCATCACAGATCCAAATCCACCGCATGAAGTAACAGGAGAATAATGCAGTGTAACAGGTTCATCAGAGGGTTGGAGACTGGATGCTCTCAGCACTCTAATATAGACAAGCCCACATATGGCTGCCATGGAAACTGTGCACAAAGCCGATCATGTCACTGCATACCAAAATGGAAGTCTCACTACTGCCTGATAATCAATAGTATGCAAGTTTCTGAACCTCTAGCATGCAATCAAGAATGCAAAAAACTACAAGGTTAAATCCACACATGTATAAACTATTAAAAGCATAATTTTACAAATAACCTGATCCATACAAGAGACTGAAATGTATTCCTTAAAAATAAAAATGTTAGCTAACAACAATAATGAGATCCTACACATCCTAATAAAAATAATACTGTATATAAAAATTTAATTAAAAAGGATGGTAAAAGGACTAATATTATAAAACCTACCATTTCTAACTGATACCCACTGACAGAGGGTAAAAACCAAAAGGTTGTAAAACTGGGCTGCCTGCATAATCCGCAGACACCCTAGAGGCAACTAATAAAACAATTAGGATCAAATTCTATGTTAAGACCTCTGGGGGGCAGGACTTTGATCTCATATATCCGTCTGGACATATGACTCCTACTTGCTAAGCTGTCTAATGAAATTGCCTTCTCTCCAATGTCTGACAACTTTTTCTACCCCCCAGAATTTATGTTAACCTGGGGCCCTATTGTGACATATTCTAAAATGTTGGGAGATACTTTGGGAGAGATTTGCTAAAACTGGTGCACTCGGAATTTGGTGCAGCTGTGCATGGTAGCCAATCAGCTATTAACTTCAGCTTGTCCAATTAGGCTTTGACAATAAAACCTAGAAGCTGATTGGTTTCTATGCACCAGATTATGCACTCTCCATGTTTAGTAAATAACCCCCCACTGTTTCTTCTCACTAAATGTGTTCCCTCAAGCATTCCCTCAGGAACATTCCAACATTTACACCACACCGTCTGTGGTGCATGAAATAAAATCTGCAATCTGAAAAGTTTCCTGAGGGGCAGAAGCAACAAATTATTTTCTTCTCTTTAGATTTTCCTTAACTGTAACACAGGCCTTGCATCTTTCTAAAGAATAGAACCCAGTCCCAGTGAAAATAGTAAAGCCCCCTTTACGAGGAGGGTCAATTATACCTTCACTAATTTCCCTTTAAGATTAGGTACTCTCCTAAAGACAAACTTAGCCAGTTCAGGTAGCACTGGGTTCAAATATTTGTCCTTCTTCAGGATTCCTCAATGCTTCTTAAATACACTCTCTGTTTTCTTATACTGTATGGTATAATCCAAAATCAAAGAGTGTCCAAAATCCGTATTCTCAAACGAAACATTATCTCTCACCTTGTCTGATTAATGGACCCCTCTCCATTTCTCTCACTTTTTTAATTCCCTTAGTTATGAACTTATATATCGCTTATGTATAAACTTCATAGCAATGATTTCCAATTGTTGCACAAAATCCTCTTCAGCCCTACAGTTGTGCAGCAGCCTCATGGGTTGCGCTCTAGGCGCATTGGATAACCACGAGGCTTGGTGGCAGCTGTTGGAATGAACATAGCTGTTGCGATCGGTTGGTTTAAAGAAGATTTTGGTCAAAAATTCTCCTCTGTCTATCATAGCCTCAAATTTCTAAAAAGTAATACTTTTCTATCACTTTTCCAAAATAAGACAATATTTTTATCATTACCGTCCTGTCTTTGCATAAACCTTTTCAAACTGTCCTCATCCCCCTCTCATATAATAAAAATATTATTGATATGTCTCTTGTAGCATCTTAATTGTTCAAGTGTTTAGTTTAAAATTTATTCTGACAACTACATTCATTTTGAATGTATTAGCAACACTCGAGGTGAATTTCACCCCATGGCTACACCTGTTACCTGTTGAAAAAACGTTTACTAAACATACTAGAAGTCATTATGCTGGAGCCCGAACAACACATTTAAACAAAAATGTTTTTGTTTCTTTTGGAAGTGATGTTCTCTCCATGGCCTATATAATAAAAATAGTCCTCCCGCGCTCAGATGTCCTGAACAGACCTAATGAAGGATAAAAGCAGCTAAACACCTAATCCT